GAGCCGGTGAGATTTGAACAGCCGAACTGCAGATAACAGTCAGCTGAAGTGGCCTGCAGTACTGCACCCTAACCACTGCGCCACCTCGGCTCTTCCCCCTAGAAACTCCCCCTCTCCCCTTTTCCACCAAATGCTTAATTTGCTATTAGGCTTAATAATAACTATGTATGTATTTATTCTATGTACTAAAAACGCAATTGCATGTGGCAATCAGGACTTTGAAATCATGTCGTGAGTACCTTTCGGGATGGTCTGTCGTACTTCCGAATGTTAGCTAAGCAGCCAGTCGTTAAGCGAGGACCACGTGTAATCTGTCTTGAATGCCTGAATTGGAGGCAGTCGTCAGCATTTCAAGTAATGCGCCCATTGAAAGCAAAACTCCAAGGCAGGTAGATTCCTCAAAGAACAAATTTATTGGCTACGTCATGTTGGCGCATCTGGTGAAAACCGACTCTGAAAGTTCCCCACGGTTTTCACCTGATTAAAAAAAAAGTTTTCCCCTGCCCCCAAGCCATCAGTCACAATGTCCAATAGTGGTGCTGGCTGGCTGGTTTAGTTACTTTACTCCTCCTGTCCGAGCCACCTGCTGGAATGACCTTGGTTCCCACAGGAAAAGCTTTTTGTTTCGACTGCAAAACCCCAGCTAAATATTCCCACGCCCACCATGTCTCCTCTTCTGCCCTCAGGCCACAAAGATGGCCTCAGCCAGGTAGATAAATCAATATGTTTGTCTACTTACCTTTCTCTCCTTGCTTCTCCACAGGATGAAGTCTTCCGTTCCAGCTCTTCTGATCGTCTCCCTTGTGATGTCCCTCAACAGCTACACCCAGCAGGCTCTTTACTGCCCGCCCCAGCCTGCTCCAGAAAATATCACAGAGTTTGTCTGCAACTCCCCATCTCTCCATGAATTTCCCACCGGCTTCCCCGTACGAGCCAAAATGATCTCCGTTGAGTTCACCCAGGTCTCCAGCCTTGGCGTGGAAGCCCTCCAAGGACTTCCAAAGCTCCAGGAACTTCATCTCTCCAACAACAGGCTGAAGACCCTTCCGAGTGGCCTCTTCCGTAACCTCCCGGAACTGCACACCTTGGATCTGTCCACCAACCTCCTTGGAGATCTACCTCCAGGGATCTTCACCAACACAACGAGCCTGACGCATGTATCCATCAGTGAAAACCAACTGGCTGAACTGCGCCGATCCTGGTTCGAAACCCTGGAGAATCTGAGGATGCTGAGCCTTGACCACAATCAACTGGAGGAGGTCCCGATTTCTTGTTTCGATAAGCTGAAGAAGTTGACTTTTCTAGATCTCTCCTCCAACCGCCTCCATCACCTCTCTCCAGACATGTTCAGCGGCCTAGAGAATTTGGAGAGGTTGAACCTGGGAAACAACCCAATCCGATGTATTGCCCCGAGATCCTTCCATTGGAGACCCAAGCTGAGCATGATCTCCCTGAATAACTGCAGCCTAACCAACATCATAATTGGGGTCTTTCAGCCACTGGACAATCTGGAGCTGCTGGACCTCTCCGACAATGATCTCACCACGCTGGATCCTCCAGTTGCCATCCCGTCTTCCAAACTCACTCTGGATCTTTCAGGAAACCCTTGGGCCTGTGACTGCCGTATGGAGAATCTTCTAACCTGGGTCAAGGAACACAAGATCCATTTATATGCCGAGCGGGAAACGATCTGCGCTTTCCCAAAGCTTTTCAAGGGTGAGGAGGCAACTTCGTTTCAAAAATCCCAAATTTGTCCCTGCTAAGCCTTCAAGGTGGATCCTTCCCCCACCCGCTTCCTAAACAGCAGGATTTCTATGCAGAACCTGCTTTTTTTTTTAATCAAATACTTTTTTTATTTTCCATTTTCATAACATACAATCACATGTATACTATTACATAGCCAATATCCTATTGTATTAAGTAGTAATTACATCAGTTCCTCTTGTCATCAATGCCCAGAAAGATAAAAACCCATTATTAGCTCTTCTGCTCTCCATACACCTCTTTCTTCTACCTCTCTCCTACCTCCTTTCTTTCCTCCGTCATCCTTTCCTACTCTACTTCCCCTTCCTTTCTCCTTCTCCTCTCTCTTCATTCCACTCCTCCTTATCCTCCTCATCTCCCCCCCTTACCCTCTCTCCTATCCCTCTCTTCCCATCTTTCTTCTCTCCTCTGTTTCCCACTCTTCCTCTCATTGGTGTATTTCAGCTTCTGAGCGAACTCCATTCTATGTTGATGGTATTTAAGCTTCCATATCAATATACTTAACATATCTTAGTTTTAAAGAAAAAAAAGCAGAACCTGCTTTTGAACTGCTAGGTAGGCAGAAGCTGAGGCAATGTCACGAGGGCTCGAACCATGGGGGAAGGATCATCTCTAGCGTCATTATGCTACTGAGCCAATGTGCTTTTCTGTTTCGTTGTTCAATAAATTCTATTTCTGCTTCAAGCCATTGTCCTGTGCTCTTTGGAAATGCTGCTCGGAATAGCAATAGCAGTTAGACTTATATCCCGCTTCATAGGGCTTTCAGCCCTCTCTAAGCCGTTTACAGAGTCAGCATATCGCCCCCAACAACAATCCGGGTCCTCATTTTACCCACCTCGGAAGGATGGAAGGCTGAGTCAACCCTGAGCCGGTGAGATTTGAAGAGCCGAACTGCAGAACTGCAGTCAGCTGAAGTAGCCTGCAATGTTGCACTCTAACCACTGCGCCACCTCGGAACGAGCCAGAATTTTCTTCTAACAATTTGGCAACCACGCAGGGACACCAAGTCTAAACCGAATGATACCGTGTTTCCCCGAAAAGAAGAGCCTATCACAAAATGCTAGCATGATTTTTCAGGATGCTTGTAATATAAGCCCTATCCCAAAAATAAACCCCAGTTAAGACTGTCAGCTAGACGGGGGCATTTAGTACCATGTTTTCCACAAAATAAGACCTAACCGGAAAATAAGTCCTAATGGAGCAAAACGTCATGTGAGACCCGGAATGTCAGGGTTCCAAATAGCATCCAAAAGTAAATCAGAATCCAAGGCAAAGTATTGCAATTTATTAAGAGAGACATGTTGGCACATCTGTGGAAAACCCGAATCTGAAAGCTTCCCGGTTTTCCCCACCCAGTTGAAAGTTGAAGATCCTGCTCCCACACCCACAAGCCCATCACACGGTCCAATCTCCCACTGCCATGCTGGCAGCTTCTACCCATCCAGGTCCGGTCAGGTGCAGAGGTGCAAAGACAAAGGATGACCTTGGCTTTCTAGAAAGAATGTTGTTATGGCTACATAGCATCTTACTCCTTACAATCCCCCCCTCCCATTTTCCCACAATAGAAAATGCGTAGTAGAATAATAGAAAGTGTGGCAGGCCAAAGATCTACAAGAAAAAAAATGGCCTCAGGGCTGACATGGTCTTATTTTCGGGGAAACACAGTAGATCTGGTCTGAGCAATTTTACTCTGTCAGCATCGAACCATTTGTCTGGAGGGTGATGCCTTGGACTCAGCTTGTTCCAGAACAGGTAATAAAATAAGTTTTGGGTTGAGCCAGATCATCCCCATCCTACTCTCTGTAATTGCCTCACAAACACTTTTCTAAATGACTCCTTCTCTCTTCCACACAATGTACAAGACCTTCACCCAAGGAGATAGGATCCCACAGAAGTTAGGTTTTACAGAACACAACTCTGGTCAAGTAAAACCGGGTGTCAACTTTGAAATGGATTGAGCCTGCTGCTGCCATTTTCCGCTTCCCAAGTCACCACACAGTTTGAGGAGGGGGGGGAGAGAGGAATGGAATGTAGCCTAGTCAAAACAGACTGCTATCTCATAAGAACCAAGGTCATCCCAACAGGTGGTTACCAGAGGACGGATCGGGTTCCCAAGGAGACACCAGGACACCTAATGGCGACAATGTCACCTGTGACACTAGGGGATCTGTCCCATCACGTGGTGTAAAAAGATGATGATTTGGCTCCCATGTTGAGAGGAGGCACATGCGTTGCTTCTCTGGTTCACAATGGCATTTAAAATGACTGGCTTCATTCTGCGCGCAGGCAGAATGCCCCATTGGCCAATCAGAAACACATATATGATCACATGTCATATTTCCCAGGAGGTAGTTTCTTAAAGGAGACACCTCTTAATTCTTACACACTCTAGATATTGCTGAGGCAGCACAATAACCTTTTGTTGTTCACTCACAAATTCGTGTCCGAGTCTCTACGACTTCACAGACCACAGAATACCAGGCCCCTTTCTCCTTCATTTTCTCCCAAAGTTTGCCGAGATTCCCATTCATTAGGCCAATGACCCTCTCTAACCATCTTGTCTCCGCTGCCGGGACTTTCTGGTTCCAGCTGTCATCAAAAATCGAGGTGTCCCTTAGGGAGATATTCAAGGAGCCCATCCATGCGTCCTTTTTTTGGAGGCAAAAAAATTGAAAACTCATCCATTTTCAGAATCATAATAGAATAGAACTGGAAGGGACCTTGGAGGTCTTCTAATGCAGCCCCCTGCTCCAGCAGGACACCCTATGCAAGGGAAGCCAAACTCGATTTCACTGAGGGACGTATCAGGGTTGTGTTTGACCTCAGAGGGGGAGGGGGGCATGGTCAAGGGTGGGCGTGGCCAGCTCAACCTCCTGCAGTCTACGTGTGGCCCTCCTGGACTGTTTTCAGCTATGACGGCCTCCTGCAGCCCAGCAAAAACAGAAGTCAATGCGCACTGTCCCCCTAAGCTTGTTTTCACTGGCAGATGTACCATGGGCTGGTCCTTTGCTATTTCCATGGCAGCACCGTGAGCCAGATCTAAACACACACCCCCAAGCTGGATCCAGCTCGCAAGCCTCACGTTTGACACCCTTGTCCTATACCTGGGATGGTGAACCTGTGGCATGCAGAGCTATTTGTCAGGGCACACGTGGTGTGTCCTGTCAGGTGGCCAGCAGGCATGTGTGCACTGGCAAGCTGAGTTCAGCCTTTTAAAAACCCATTTTACTCCCTCCCCAGGCTCCAGAGGCTTTATAGGAGCCTGGGGAGGGTGAAAACAGCCTCCCCTGCGCCCACTTCCAGAGGGCAAAAAACGACCCTATGAGCAAAATGGAAGTCACTTCTCTGAAGGCTCCGGAGGGCTAAAATCGGCCCTATAAGCAACCTGGAAGTGACTTCTGGTTTGCTTGTAGGCCCGTTTTTTTTTTTGCACTCCAGAGGCTTCAGGGAAGCTCCTGAAGCCCCTGGAGGGCCTCCGGGGGGTGGGAGAGACTGTTTTCACTCTCCCCAGGCTCCTATAAAGCCTCTGGAACCTGGGGAGGGTGAAAAAAGCATGCAAAAAATGGGGTGTCGCGCCTGTCATGCATGAATGCATGCTGGTTGTGTGTGTGTCACGCATTGCATTATGGGTGCAGCACACCCACACACGACCCCCTGCGCTCCCCCCACTTATGGCACGAGAGCCAAAAAAGGTTCGCCATCGCTGTCCTACCATTTCAGACAGATGACTGTCCAGTCTCTTCCTACAGTTAGAATAATTAATCAGTGGAACAGCTTGCCCTCCAGAAGTTGTGAATGCACCAATTGTTCTTTTTTGCATAGTTTGTCTGGATTCTACATTCTACATTCATCGATCTCACTTGCCATCTCATCCTTTCTTATTCCCAAAGCCTTTGCCCTAAAGTCTGCCATCGTGTCTGGTAAATCCTTGCCTTTTTCTTCCTTTACATTCTGAAACCGTAGAAATTGGGCTGCTTTCTCCGATTCTAACGTGAGGACCATTAACTCAAGTTCTTTGTTTGCCTGGATCAGCCTAGAACTCAGCTGCTCCATTTTTCACCCCTAATTCTCCAACCTTCCTTCTATTACATTTATTCTTTGTTCGTGTTT